ACTGCCTGTGTCCCCATGTCTCTGTGTCCCTAGTGTCTGTGACCCCATTTCTCCCAGTGTCCCCAAATGTCTCAGTGTCCCCATGTCTCCCAGTGTCTCCATGTCTCCCAGTGTCCCCATGTCTGTATCCAAAAGTGCCCCCATGTCTCCCAGTGTCCCCAAGTGTCTCAGTGTCCCCATGTCTCCCAGTATCCCCAAGTGTCTCAGTGTCCTCTGGTCTCTCAGTCTCACTGTATCCCCATAGCTCTCCGTGTCCCCTAGTATCCTAGTGAGACGGGACACACTGAGACATAGGGACACTGGGAGAAATGGAGACACAGACACTCGGAGACCAGGGGACTGGGCAACATGGGCACACTGACACCGTCATACATAGGGACACTGATGCCAGGCTGGCCTTCCAATTCTTTGGACAGACATGTCCCCTTTTTGGGCATGTTTGCCCCTTTTGGCATTTCACGTGGTTTGTGTCAGTGGCCCACCCATTTACCCCGCCCATTGACTTCCTGCTTCACTGGACACTGCTGTTAGGGGGTATGGAGTTACTTGAAAGATGAAAGCATACATTAGAAAGAGATTAGCATTGGGTATGTGTTTTCTTATAGCTGCATCCTTAGACTTTCCCTCCAACATCAACTCCATCAGATACATGACGCTTGAGAGGTATGACTGTTTTAGTGTTTTTGGTCGATAAGATTCTGTAAGTAGGCCCCATCATAATTGTCAGCACCAGGCCCACTGGGCTCTTAATCTGGCCCTGTCCATCGACATATTGAAATGATGTGTGTCAAGCTAAATATGGTATATCTGGCATGCCTAGGATTGAAAAATCTATTACTTTTATTAAAATGAATTTTTTTTAAAAAATCACGGAGGCAGGTCTGAAATCTGCTACATCAGGACATCTCTAATTATACAGGATATTTGGCTGTACCCTGGTGTTTCTGTCCGTGGGTCCAAAATCTCAATGTCTCATAACATTTAACATTCCTTCATTAGATCTGCAAACCCACTGTGAAACAAGTTATTTTATATGATTTGAAGCTGAGCTGTCACTTGTTAACAGTATGGCCACTTGAGAGGTTGTAGGGTTTTCGGGCACTGATCCAAATGGCTATGAATTGAATATTCAAATCCAGTCAAGAATCAATCTGTTTTGCTAGAGAATTGCTCAGTTGCCAAGTACTATTTTTGCTGCACAATTCATGCATGATTTTAACATATCTGGTTGCAAATTGGTGGTAGTTTGCTCTCTATGCATATATTAGAATAGTTATTGAGATTTGTGGAAACAAATATTTATGTGCAGCCCCTGTATAATTCCTAATTTAAGTTCTGTTTGAAAATTCGTTTCCACATTAAAGGTATTCTCTATGCAATATATGACAACATTCCTGTGAAATGGCACAAATGCTTTGAATGAGCCAAATAAATCACACAATTCCTCCTAATCCCAACTGCTCACAATTGGAAATGATTAATTGCTTTGCCAAGAATAGTTAAGTATATAATATAAAAAATATTATATGCAGTACTGGAGATTGTATCTCCAGAAGGATATGGATACTTTGGAGAGCGTTTAGAGCAGGGCTACTAAACTGGTTAATGGATTGCAGGGTAAAACTTCTCAGGAAAGGTTAAAGATTCTTAACATGTATAGCTTGGAGGAAAGATGAAACGGGGGGATATGATTAAAACATTTAAATATATAAATGGAATCAACACAGTAAAGGATGAGACCATATTTAGAAGAAGGAAAACTACCACAACAAGAGGACGTAGTCTTAAATTAGAGGGACAAAGGTTTAAAAATAATATCAGGAAGTATTACTTTAATGAGAGGGTAGTGGATGCATGGAATAGCCTTCTAGCTGAAGTGGTAGCGGCTAACACAGTAAAGAAGTTTAAGCATGTGTGGGATAGGCATAAGGCTATCCTAACTATAAGATAAGGCTGGGGACTAATGAAAGTATTTAGTAAATTGGGCAGACTAGATGGGCCGAATGGTTCTTATCTGCCGTCATATTCTATGTTTCTATGTCTATGTTTCTAAAACACTTCAAGAGTGTGTTACCAAGCTAAATCTGAGATTGACGAAATGGTCACAAAGTAAATGTTATTTAAATAATTTTGGTCCCTGTCAAAAAAGGTTATAAATCACTAAACAAGCACCACGAATAAAGATGTGGAATAATTAAAGATTTAATATAACAAACCTAGCGTATCTCCATCCCAATGTACAGTTGAGATGATGTGAGTGGGAATGTCAGGGTTTTTGACTAAAAGTGAGAATTCAAGCTAAATTCACAGTGAATTTCAAATTTAAGGCCAAAATTAGCCAAATTGGATACATTCTCTAAATCGGCTTTGCCTTCAGTGTGGCTACTCTGACCTTACATTTAAAAAGGAACTTTAAATTCACTTTAAATTCCCCCTTTTGGTTAATAGCCCTGTTCAGGTCATATTGCGCAGATCTGTTTTCTTCCAATTGACTATTCTAGTATAGTGGTTCATAACAGCAATCCTGGTTTTGTCATTATCCACTTTGGAACAGAAGTGAGAATCCCTAAAATCTTGAAATGTTGGTGTGTCTTGATGATTGTATTGGGAACCACAGTTCTAGTGTGTTATGCAGAAATGTTAATTACATCTGTCATTTAAATTCCTTCTTCAACGGTTTTAAAAGAAACTTTGAATGATCGTTTTCAGTCGTTATGGCAACAAAAGCATCTGAACTTTCCAGTCTATTATCCTCATGCCATGTGACAAAAAGTTAGAATTAATCATTCCCCAATAAAATATGCATGGGTTAAATCCGATACACAAATGTTATTTCTAGTAATAGCTTAGGCATTGAGTATCATAGGGATGATGTTTTAAATGCTATATGCAACTATAAATATGTTATACTGACTCAATTCCTAACATCCAGGATGGAAAGCCCATCATGCTTGCAGCTGCTGGCCAGCTAAGAAGGTACCTGGTTGCTGACACATCAGAAGCGTATTAACCAACGTGTACGCTCAGCGAGTTGATGAATCTGTCTGAGTATAGATTCAACTATCGTGCACATGCCCAGAATTCGTTTATATGCAGTGTCTTGTTGCAATGGAACACTGGAGAGTCAAAATGAAACAGTATTGTTACACTATAGCTTGAAATGGAACAGCTGAAAGGTATGTATTGAATAGAATATATGAAACAGCATGCTTAAAGATGCAGTGTATCCCATGTGTTCTGCATTCTCTGTGAAATCTCATTCTGACTTTTTCTTTTGCTGCTTAGCTATGTATTCCTACACACGCACGAACACACACACACACACACACACACACAAACATTAAAAGCACATGCCTAATATAGTGTAGGTCCCTTTGTGCTACAAAAACAACTCTGATGAGCTGAGGCATGGACTTCACAAGATCTCCAAACTTGTCCTGTGATATCTAGAACCAAGACTTTAACAGAAGATCCTTTAAGTCCTGCAAGGTCTCCATATGTTGTTCTAGCACATTCCAAGATGCTCAGTCGGATTGAGACCTGGGAAATTGGAGGCCAAGGCAATACCTTGAACTCTTTGTCATGTTCCTCAAGCCATTTATGAACATCATTTGCAGCAGTGTGGCAGGGTGAATTATCCTGCTGAAAGAGGCCACTGCCATCAGTGAACACCATTAATGCCATGAAGAGGTGTATGTGGTCTGCAACAATCTGTAGGTAGGTGGTGCGTGTCAAAGTAAAATCCACATGAATTCCAGGACCGAAGGTTTCCCAACAGAACGTTGCCCAGAGAATAGCACTGCCTCCGCCAGCCTGCTTTCTTCATGACATACACGCACCTCTCCATCCACCTGACCTAAAAGAAAATTTGTTTCATCAAATTTGGGCTACCGTAGCTCTTCAGTGTGATCGAACCAGACGAACAAGCCTTCGCTCCCCACTTGCATCAATGAGTCTTGGGCGGAGATGATGCTGATACCAGATTATCAGTTGTCCTTCCTTGCAAAACGACTTTTAGTAAGTATTAACCACTGCATGCTTGGAACACCTCATATGACTTGATGATTTGGAGATGCTCTGACCCAGTTATTTAGCCATCACTATTTGGCCTTTTTCACAGTCACTCAGATCTTTTCACTTCCCCTTTTTTCTTGCTTCCAACACATGAAATTCAAGAACAGACTGTTCACTTACTGCCTAAAATATCTCACCCATTCACAGGTGCCATTGTAATGATACAGTTAATGTTAGTCGCTTCACCTGTCAGTGGTTTTAATGTTGTGGCTGATCGGTGTATATTCCTCAGATAATCCTCAGTATGTGTCTTTCGGACATTTATGCTCCTACTTGTTATTGGATCCTGTTTAGTTTTGTGTCTGCAGTTTTTTTAATTTCTTGTAGATTATCACAAGCTTGTGTTTAGATGACTTAGCCAATAACGATCTATAGCACTTCAAATCGTGGTGTACAGCGTGCTTCCCAATTCTTTGTAGTGTTCCACATATTGTGACTTCTGTCAATTTATTACCCACTGAGCACATTTCACAGCAGGTGAGATTGTATACTTTCTTGCTGTTACATATCTGTAAGTCACTTTGTAAGGTAATTTTTTGCCGTTAAAATATGCACTTCCTTAACAGGACAAAGAGCGTTGCAGCACTGTAAGTGGGATATAAGGCTCAACCATAGCTTGTTATAGCATTAAGCAGAGTAACGTAATACAGTGAAAGCATTACAATCTCTGTCAGATATAAAAATGAAGGCTGTCATCTACCCCCATACACCTTCATGCACATACACACTTACACACTTTTATAAGGCCATTCTCACACATGCATACACAAACAAACAAACAAACAAACAAACACTAACACACTCATATATGTATGGAAAGAACCCCATTCTCATATATTATATATACATACATTAACCCTCATACTTGCATGTGTGTATACAGATAGAGTCATGCAGGCACTGGGAGATAATGGGCAGATAATGGTTGAGGTGGCAGTTCAGGCACTGGGAGCCCCAGGCCCGTAATGGGCAGGGGGCTCCCAGTGCCTGGACTGCCACCAAAACCACTTACACATCTATAGGGCTCCCAGTGCCAGGAATTAGCTTATTGGTCAAGATTCCTATCATCATTCACATAATTTTCCCTCCCTCTTTCTTGTTTTGCCACTTTTCAGAAATCCGAAGCATTTGTGAACTTCGGCACTTCATCACTTCGGCACTTCGCCAATTCGGAACTTCAGCAATTCAGTACGGTTCGGCACTTCCAAACTACCGAACTTCGGCACTTCAGAACTTTGGCACTTCTGAACTTCGGCAATTCGGTTCGGCACTTCCGAACTACCAAACTTCGGCACTTTTCCACTTCGGACGTTTGTAAGCATCCGAATGTCCGAACTGCACAAAATTCATCCGAATATACATTCGGAAAGAAACAAATTGCATATGTCTATTAACAATAGTACACTGAAATATCACCTTTATATAAGTATTCAGACCATTTGCTACAACACTTGAAATTTAGCTCAGATTCATTCTAGATCATCTTTGAGATCAACTCGTGCCAAAATCAACTGATTGAACATGATTTGGAAAGGCACAGATTTGTCTATATAAGGTTCCACAGCTATAAAGGCATATTGGGGCAAAAAACAATCCATGAAATGAAAGGAACTGCCTGCAGAAACCAGAGACCAGAGACAGACTTGTGTCATGGAATAGATCTGGGTAATGCTACAAATCAATTTCAACTGCAGTGAAGATTCCCAAGATCACTGAAGGTTCACCATCCAACAATGACCCTAAGCACAAAGGCAAGACAATAGAACAGTGACTTAGGGACAACTCTGTTTATGTTCTTGAGTGGCTCAGCCTGGGCCTGGTCTGGAACTCAATCAAAAATCTCTGGAGAAACCTGAGAATGACTGTCCAGATAGAGTTTGAAAGGATCTGCAGAGATGAATAACATAAACTTCTCAAATCCAAGTGTGCAAAGCTTGTCCCATTATACTCAAAAATATTTTACTTATTTAGCTACCAAAGTTCCTTAAAGTACGTACTGAGTTAAAGGTCTGAATACTTATTTCAATGTGATATTTCAGTTTTTTATGTTTTATCTATTTGCAATGGTGTCAAAACATGTTTTGGGGTATTGAGCGTAGATTAATGTGAAAAAAAAATATTTAAACATCTGTAGCATACGGCTACAACAAAAAAAGTTGAAAAAAAAAAATGAAGGGATCTGAATACTTTCTTAATGCACTGTAGATGTCCTGAACCCTGTCAATTCCCAACCTATCACATCCTGAATCCTAGTCCAGCACTGGATCGAATCGGTTATGTTCCAGGTTGAGTACTGCCAAGTCCCTGTTAAGTCCCTAGTCAACTTCTGTCTACTAGATAAATACTGGATGCTTTCCTGATAAAGCCTTCTCTACTGTGTATTATGTATAACCTGCTGTGTTTTATGTGTAGGAAGTGTCCAATGACCTAGTCTCCACCTTTTCTTTACCCCTGTGTCATCTAATTACTTGATGACAAATGTCAGATAATGATCTGTTGGAAATTATGTGTAAAGTTTAAAGTTAAAACTTAAACTATATGTGTTTTGTTAAATTTGCCCCTTGCCTTGTATTCCACATGGTTATCAGACTAAGACTAATTCATGACTATGGCCTAGCTCCAGCTACCATCTAATTATGACTCGCAATTCTTCAACTACTACAGATTGGCACGTGCCATTTACTCCATAAAAGCACTTAAGGGCTCCAATTTTAAGGAAGGATTTTATGAAACTAGAAAAAGTGCAGAGGCAGGCTAGAAACTGAATAGGTGGAATGGAAAAATTTAGATATGAAGAAAGGCTAGAATACATACATTTTCATTAGAATAAAAGGTGTCTCCAATAAGATAAGCCCTATATAAATATACACAGGCACAGTGCAAGCAGTTATCTGGTAACCTGATCAATAGCAGGAATACACAATAGACAAATGGTCACCCATTAGAACTTAGAAAAAATAATAATTTTGTCTGCAGCAAAGGGAAGGGTTCTTTATGGTGAGAATGATAAAAAAATTGGAAATTCTCATTCTAAAGAGGTTGCTTATCAGATTCTAAAGCTTATTCTAAAAAAGCTATGGATATTTTTTGGAAAAATAGAATATTTGAGGATATAATGAATATGCATAGAAAGAGGTTGTTGATTCAAAGAGAAGTCTAATTGCTATTACTGAGTGAAGAAGGCATTTCCTTATTTGTGGTAAAATTGGCAAACACTTCAAATTAGAAAGTTTGCTTACTTTTGGATCAACAGCATGAGAAGGCATAATAAATTCTGAACGTGATGGACTTGAGTATTTTTTTCAACCAGGATTAATATATAACAATGTAACTATGCCTGAGCTATTTGGACCAAATTCCCCTTTTCTTTATTTCTTTTGTTACAATGTAGTGACATTTCGGAAGGACAAACAGTAGTGTTCTAAATTGTTCCATTTGTAAATGGGACAATTTGGGCTAGATTCTGTTACAAGGGATTAACTTAAAGGGATACTATAGTCACCAAAACAACTTTAGCTTAATGAATCAGTTTTGATGTATATATCATGTCCCTGGAGTATCACTGCTCAATTCTCTTCCATTTAGGAGTTAAATCACTTTGTTTATGCTGCCCTAGTCACACCTCCTGCATGTGACTTGCACAGCCTTTCTAAACACTTCCTGTAAAGAGTCATGTATTGTTTATACTTCCTTGATTGCAAATTCTGTTTAATTTCAAATTCCATATCTTCTGCTCTGTTAGTAGCTTGCTAGACCCTGCAGAAGCCTCCTGTATGTAATTAAAGTTCAATTTACAGATCAGGAGATACAATATTTTAAAGTAAGCTACATCTGAATGAAGGTGAAGCCATTCTGTTTTCATGCAGGCTGTATCAGAAACAAACTTGATTTAACTCCTAAATGATTGAGCATTAAACACTTCATTGACATGATCTATTCACAATACTCCTTCTTAAAGCTAAAGTTGTTTTGGTGACTATAGTGTCCCTTTAATTCTGGTAAATAATACCATAATAATAATAAAAAACCAAATATTAGATCAGCTATCTTCTTCTGCAGGAAAAACGCTGTTCATCTAGAAAAGATAAATTTATCTCTTACAATATATTCTAGCCAAATCCTAAAAACTACATGCCTTTTTTTAGTTATAAGCACGTGAAAAAAAATATTTATGAATCTATACGTCTGCAAGATGTAGGAAAATGATAAGTAAACCTGATGCATCTCACTCAAAAGAAAGGCTGCTTTTTTTCTTTTTCTTTTTACCACTAATTGTTGCGTTCTTGAGATCTATATGTCCACCATATTTAAATGAGCAGTGAAGCCTTGGTGAGATGATTTCCAATTTTTGAAGAGAGTTCTTCTATTGTATTCCATTCGATAACAACAATATATGAAGGTCATACTTTGCACGCATGTTGTAATTCAGACTGGAATCGCTCATGTCATTTTGCTACTCATCATTCCTTCTACGCTCCAACTATATGCCTGTTTTTTTTTTTTTTGTTTCTTTTTAACAAGGTTGTCTACAATCATACAGAATTTGCTTATGCAAACCCAGAATTGTTTCAATTACCCAGAAGACCAGTGATTTGTGTGCATTTTTAATGTCATTCATTGTTAAAAACTCATTACTATATTCCATTTCAATATCTCCCAAACCTCTAGCTACAGGTCATTAAACAAAGCCCTTGCCTGTAGCATTAAGTGTCTTTTGAATGTGTGTGCTCAACTGTGTTAATTATCATTCCTAGTCCCTGCATGCTAACACAGTGTCAGAAAAGGATGAGAGTACTACGCAAGAAGTCAATCCCTTGAGTCACGTTATAATGCCAATAGGGAGCATCCATAGTTCATAGACTTATACACCCACCTCTCTTCGGTCCTGTTCACAGATGTCTGGACTTTGGTTCCTAGAAAAAAACAAACATATATTTTTATAATAAAAAACGAATTAAAAAAATGAACAACATGTTTTTATGGCATTGAGAAAAAAATATTTAGTTTATGTTCAACTCCATTTTAACTAAAAAATATAATCCTCTTGTACTTGGTTATATCATTCGAAATATCTTTCAGTTTCCATCATGCTACTCCATTCCTTCACTCACTATCGATATATATTATTCAAACCTAGAGCTATTATAAAGGTTCTTCCTTGACAGGTCTAAAGTACATTCCTTGGACTTTGTAACAATGAAAAGAGCTATGGTTTGAGAATGTGGAAGACAGATATGGGGCTGTTGAGGTACGAAGATACCTATGGGCTTGGGAGATCGGAAAGTTACAGTTTCAGAAGAACAAATATATGGTTGGTGAAGAGGTCTGCAGAGTTGGTGACCCATCCTATTTTTTTATTGGCACTAATAGTTAAAGGAAATTAAAAATCCATGCCAAAGTGTTAGAATGGGCAGTCACTATTTGACCATTTCATGTTAGAGCTCAGTATTCTTGGTGTGTCTGAACTGATAGCAGAGCTTTATGGCAAAAATACACTAAACATGTTGAAAACTACAATAAATGTGTGTAAATAAGATGCATTGTTCTTATTCCAAACTTCACAGAAAATCACGTAAAATTTGTCACACTGGCCACCCCCCCACCCCCCCACTCACACCCCTAAAATTAAAATGGCCTTCTTTGTCCATTCAGAAATATTGGAAGGTGTAAAAAAGCTGATTTTATTCTAAATGAATGTGACAGTTCACCAAAGAATTATCATTAAGTCTCCATTTCTTGGTGACATCTACAATTTATGTTCATTGTTTTTCTTATTTAGACTGTAAATTATTTTTTTTTTACACCTATGTATTTTTTCTATGCACACTTAATTAGTTGTAGTGCCTTTAGAATAAATTCTTTTTTTTCCTAATGTGAATTGGCACCTTACTTTTTTTTCAAGGTTCCTGGTAATAAATCAACATTTAGCCTTCTGCAGAGAGCGGGAACAGGACCTACACTGGGTGGCCGCCCTCTTTCTCTGTCACACTGAGTGATTATGCTGA